GGGCAGGGATGGGGATGCGGGCAGGGATGGGGAGGCAGGCAGGGACGTGATGCTCCCCGGTGCCTGGAAGCAGCCTTGTGTCATGGCCCAGGGCACCAGAAGCAGCTTAGCTCAGCGGTGATGATGGCTGCTCGCTGCTGGCTGTGCAGCGATGCCCGTGCTGGGCACGTGCCGGCCGTATGCCGCCTCCCCTGGAGACGGGCACGGCTGCTCCTGGCTCGGGCTCGCCGCAGGCAGCGGTTTCACTTCCCAGGGGTTTGTTCTCTTTCCAGCTAGAGCTTCCCCCGGAGGAGTCGCTGGCGTGTTAGGGACAGTCCGCGTGGCAGCGATGTGTGCCAGTGTCCTAGAGCCGACGGGAGCTGCACGGCTGGGGAGCAAGCGTTGCCTGCTCCTGCCTGCGGCTGGACAGGAGGGAAGGGTGAATTTCAGCTCCCAGCTGCCTGCTGGCTTTTGCCCCTTCTCCAGCTGTAGCTGCACACAGGTTCAGACAGCGCGTCCGATCACGGTGCCGGGAATGCCGTGCCTGAGCTCCCCAAACCGAGCACAGACTGGCCTTGCCTGCTCCTACGTCCCTCTGGGTCAGGAGGCTGCACGGTGCCGGGTGAAGCTGGAGGCTCAGGCTTGGCCCTGCAATGGTCTCCAGGGCAATCGCTGCAGGTCTCGGGGCTGGTGGGAGAGCCCTCGTTGAAGGGTGAATAGCTCTCCTTTGTCTCTAGTGCTAGAGATAGGGATGTGGTTTAGCCAGGCTGAACCCTGCAGGCATCCTGTGAATACTCCCCCAGGCCTTTTCTGTTGTCCCTTTGTCCCCACTGCCAGGGCAGCACCTAGCGAAGGTCCCCGGGGGATCGAGTGGTAGCTCAGCACAAGCAGGTTTGCTCCCATCGTCCCACCTTTCCTTCCAGAAAAACTGCGCAGTGTCCCTCCCTGCTCTGTCCTGCAGCCCCGGGAACAAGGGCTGCTGCTGCGGCACATGGCACCGAGGGGCTGCAGGGGCTGTCTCCGCACCTCCCGGAGCAACTTCTCCCACAGCCTTCTCCCACCAGAGCAAACCTTCTCCCAGGTGCATTGCCATTCGTAGGGTGAGGCAGAGGGAGGCCACGCAGGGGCTCTCGTCTCGTCCCACCTCGACCGTCCTAATGCCAGCAGCCCAAAATAAAGAGGCCATGTGGCTGAGTGGGACATTGCTAGATTTCAACTCCTTCCCTTTCCAGGGATGAAGTTTCATGCAACGGGAAATGGAAGAACACTAAGTTCAGAAACTTATCTCTGTTTTTATTTTTAGACAGGCATTCATGAGGAAGAAATGACGTACTTTGGGGCAGCCTGTAGTGCAAGAGAGTAATTAAAAGACAATATTCTTACCTTCAGTATCATTCTCTCCTCAGTGAATCGGCTGTTCCCAGGGCAGGATCATGTTTGTCTGCCATAATTAAGCCCATTTTTTTTGTTGTTGCTTTTGGCTTAAAGCAATTTATCATGCATGGTAGAAAAATATGAATAATTTATTTGTGAGTTAAAATTTAATTATAGCTTTGCATCGGGCAAAGTGGGGGCAAAGCACTGGCATGATCTCTCCTTGGCATTTAGGGCAGATCTCAAGAAGGCAATTAAAATCCAAGTGAAAGTGGAAGGTTGCAGCCTCGGTTTCTGTGGGAAGACTTCCACCAGGATCATGTCATTCAAGTGCAGTCACTTTGTTGAAAGCCTGTCAGGCCACAAGAGTCTGCACTTCCCAGGTACCGAGAGCAACAGCTCTGAC